TATGTTTTAAAATTAATCATATTTTATGGTATCACGATATAAAATATTTAATTTATAATCATTTAAGTAATTAATAATTAAACAAAGTTTTAAACCACACTTGAATTATTTAATAAAACATTTTAAACTCATTCTATAATTATAATAAAATGATTAATATTGAAAATTAAAATAATTTGATCTAAACTCACTATGAATCTTTAATAATAAATTTTAATTTTAAAGTCTTAAAAATAACTTTAGTAAAAATTGGAGTTTATAAATTAAACTTAATTCTAATTCTAAATTAAATATCTTCTTCTGTTATTTGATTTAATTATAAAATATTTAAAGTAAAACATGAAAATTATAAAAATAATTTCACTGAAAATTGAATCATAAAAAAATAGAAATAATTTAAATCAAAATTAACACAGATTCTTACTTTTTTATTAACTAAATAAAATTATTTAAAGTAAAAATCAAAGTTAAAAAAACATACTAACTGGGAATCGACTTTTATAAAAAGAAACCCTGTAAGATGTTTAAACAAAGTTGCTTTTGCAATTTCATTAAATTATTTAGAAAATATTTAAATTAAAAAAAATTTTATTGAAAATTAAATATTATAAAAACAATCTATTTTTTGTATAAACTACGTTCTCATTTTTTATCAATAAAATAAAATTATTTTATTGATAAACAAAGTTTAAAAAATGAATTAATTAGGAATCGAACTTTAATATAAAACAAACTGGCTTACTTGTTAAACCAATTTGTAATGTACTTATATTATTATTTATTTTTGAATATTTAAATTCAAATATAAAATTTTCATAATAAATTCATAATAATTTAATATTTTTAAAAAACGAATTCGTTATTTAAAAATAGAGGTTTATTTATAAAAAATAAATTTTAAAATATTTAAACTTAAAAATAAGCTAATTAAGAATCAAAATTTATTAAAAAATACCGCTTTAATATTTAAACAGAGTACTATTTAGCCATTATTTTATTAGCTTATAAAATAATTATACCATAAGACTCACTGGATTAAATAAATTTATTCATACATATATCACTATTTGTTAAATTAATTCTATACTGTAATTATTTTGTTCTTGATTATAATATTCTCTTATCTTGTTATCTTTACTTATATCATAAACTCTGTGGTTTAAAAACACTTAAAATATTAACAAAAATTATTTAAAGATGATTTCAAATCTAAACATTAAAGTGCATGCGACTATTTAATATTAAATATAAAAACCTCACAATAAATTCATTAAATATTAAATATTATAAAAACAAGTTTTTTTTCTAAACCATGTTCTTGCTTTTCTTAATAAATAAATCTTTTTAAGTTAAAAAATAAACTAATTGTGAATCGAACTTTATTAAAAGGTAATTTGTAAAACTTTTAAACAGCTACCTATTGAAAAACTAACTTATTATTTTTTAAAATATAAAAATCTAAAAATAAATTCATTAAGAATTAAATATTTTAAAAATAAATTTAAAATTTTAAAACCAAATGTTTATTTTTTATCAATAAATAAAAATTATTTGAAATTAAAAGCTAATTTAAAAATAAACTGATTGGGAATCGAACATTATTAAAAGGAACTCTGTAAGATATTTAAACAGATGCCTATTGGAATACTAATTTATTAATTTCAAAAATATAAAAATATTATAATAAATTTATTGAGAATTTAATAGTTTAAAAATGAACTCGAACTTTTTAAAACCAAGTGTTTATTTTATCGATAAATTAAAAATTATTTTATATTTAAAGCAAATTAAAAAAATAAACTAATTGTGAATCGAACTTTATTAAAAGGTAATTTGTAAAACTTTTAAACAGGTACCTATTATTATATTAATTAATTATTTTTTAAAATATAAAAATATTACAATAAATTTATAGAAAATTTTAAATTTTAAAAATAAATTCGAAATTTTTACTAAATATTCATTTTTATCGATAAATTAATAATTATTTGATTTTAAAAGAGAATTTAAAAAATAAACTGATTGGGGATCGAACATTATTAAAAGATACTCTGTAAAACTTTTAAACATGTACCATTTCAAAATCTAATTTATTATTTTCTAAAATATAAAAATATTACTAATATTTTATTAAGAATTTAATATTTTAAAAATAAACTCGAAATTTTTAAAACTAAATGTTCATTTTTATCAATAAATTAAAAATTATTTTATATTTAAAGCATATTTAAAAAATAAACTAATTGGGAATCGAACTTTATAAAAAGAAACCCTGTTTAGTGTTTAAAGAGCTCCAAATGTATTCATATTTTTTTATTTTTTTACATTTAAATTTAAATTTTTCATACTAAATTCGTAAAGGATTGAATATTTTAAAAATGAGCTGGTATTTTTTAAACCATCCATCATATTTAATCAATAAAACATTTAAATTTAAATCTGATATCGTTTTAAAATAAACTAATTAAAAATAAAACTTGTTAAAATTAAATTTGTTTTTTGTTTGAAATTGGTGTTGATTTTAACCAATTTATTAAATATTTTGAATTAAAAATCCAATAATGATATATTAAAATTTTTTTTATTAATTGATAATAATAACTACCATTTAGATATAAAATTTGTATGAAAATATCATTCCTTTCATAAAATTTAATTGTAATTTTTTATTTATAATGTCGTAACCTATAAATATTACTTACACTCGATTAGGTGGTTTATGAGAAGACTGTTTATTGTGAAAATATTTAAAGCTATGAAAATGAATAATCAAGTAATAGAAATAAGATGGTAAATAAGTTGATAAAGATAGTTTAAGTGAAAATATGAGTGAAAATGATAGATTATAAATTTCTTTTATCTATCTTCTATTGATTTTGATAAAAAACGTTTTATGAGAAAAATTTAAGTTTTTTTATAATTAAAAAAATAAAATTGTTTAATGTTTGCGTCATTTATAATCTAATAAACCATTTAATAATCATAAAATTACTTGTTTGTATTTTTAAACCTTTTAGTAAAAAAGATAAATTTTTCATTGTACATTACAAAGCACCACATGTAATATTTTTTAAAAACAACAAATCATCTAATAAATATAAATTAGTTTTGAAAATTATAATTATAAAAATAACAAAAATATTAATCACTATAAAATACAATGTACTTTATTGGAAATATCACCAAAAACAAACTTTTTTATTTATTTAACAGTAATATCTTATATTATTTACACCAATTACTAATATAAAATACAAACATCTTTAACTGTATAATAGTATATTTAAGTTTTTTTTATAATTTTTATAAGAAAAATTTATATTGTATTAAAATTGCTCTTTTGAATTTTTAAAGATAAAATAAAATTGTTGGTGATATTATTCTCTATAATTTTCAATAAAATTTAAAAAAAAGAATAAATTTAAAAAGAAAATATAATTAGAAAACCTTATTATAGAAAGTAAATATTGTATATTATTAAACCAATAAAAATTCTATTAATGTTTATAATATTATTTATTAAACCATATTTAAAACACCTATTTTAAAGCTATAAATAAATAAATTATTTGATTTTTATTTTTAAAGAATAATTTATATAAGTGCAATACAAGTTTTATTTAAAACACAGTCTTTTTGTAAAACAAAAAATTGAATTTAAAAATACTTAAAGTTTACTTTTTTTAAAAAATCTAAAAATGAGTTAAAGTGTAATTTTTGTTATTATAAACCCATTTAAGATAATTTATGACTTTTCTATACTTTTATATTTCAAATAATCCATAAAACTAATAAATAATAATAATAGAAATATAAAATTTAATAAATAATTAACTTGGATTAATAAAGAGAGAACTGTTTTAACAATAAATTTAATATTAAATGTAAAAAATATTTAATTTTATTATTGTTGTATTTAATTTTTAATTTTAAATATTTTAACCCTTAATTTTTATGAATAATAATGAAAACAATAAATTATATTTAACAACTAAAGTTTTTTTATTATTTAAATGCTTTCTTATGGTAAAAAATTTAAGTAAAAAGCTTCAAAAAAAATTTAGTGTTTTTGTTTACTAAAAAAACTTTCTTCTATAAAATCTTTTTATTCGTTTAAACACTATTTTAAATAATTTCTCATAAAATTTTGTTAAATCTAAGAATATTTATTTTCTATTATTCAATTTTTATAATATTAATCTCAAACAAAAATTATTAAGTTGAAGTAAAAAAGAAACTTCTAATGTGTATTTAAAAATGTTAATTATAAAAGAAAATTTAATCTAAATATATCTTATAATGAAAAAAATTGATTAATTAATAATATTAAAAACCCTTTTTTAATAATAAAAAAATTAATATTATAAATCAATTATATTTAAATTATTTTGAGTAAATTATATTTATCATAAAAAATTACTTATATAGATTGTTAACTATAAAAAAAAATATATCAATTAACAATCCTTTTCTATCTTCTTTATATCTATTAATTTAAATGTATTTTTTAAAATTCATTTTTATCAAAACTTTCATCATAATCAATATCTTTAAAAAGTTTTTTTACTTCTTTTATTAATTTAAATATTCAAACGGTTTTTAATTAATAAATCTCCTACTGTCATTAACTTTTGTTTTAATAAAAAAATTACTTTTACTGCTACTATACTTCCTATTTATTAATAAATTTAACTTTTAAATTTACACTTGTAGGATTTAATTAATCAATAACTTTATTTATAAATAAGATACAAAATGATTGCTATATTTAATAGTTAATAAAAATTCCTTTTAAATAATTTAGTTAAAAAAATTTAATCTTCATTATATTTTAGTTAATTTTTTAAGAATTTAAAATAGTTAATATAAAATGTTTAAAAATCTTTTTAAAGTATAATAAATTCTTTTTAAAAAATCAAATTACTAAGAAATAACAATGAATTAAAAAGTATAATAAAATATTTTTTTAATTATAATTTAAAATTAAAATGAATAAAAAATTATTTATTTGATTTAAGACTCTCAAGTTTCTTCTTATTCTCACTCTGTCCTTCTTCATAAACTCTCTTAAATTCATTAAAGTCTTCCTCGTTATCAAGCTTTATCAAAAAGACGGTTAATTTAGTTTTAAATTTCTCTTCAACATAAGCTTTATCATCAACAGCTACCCAAATATATGAATGATCATAAACATTACTCTTAATCAAATTACACTTTTCTGATGGCGATATAATATGATGTGCACCGTTCAACATTAGACCGTCTCTTATCATCAAATTAGTATACATTTCATTAGAATTCTTAAGAAAAAAGAATTTTCCTGTTCCTCTTTTCTCAAATAACTTATCCTTTAAGAAAAACAAATTACAATTACATGAAAAAATAGAATCTTTTTCATAATTCTTTAATGGATCATTCTTAATGTCTTCTTTAACTGATTTGTTAGAATCTTTTTTAGTTAAGAATGGACATACAGATGATTTAGATTGAGTATTATCTTTCTCTGATTTAATAGAACTTTCCTCTTTTATTGTTTTAGTTTCACTCTTCTCATCTACAACATTTTCAATTTTGTTATCAGTTTTTTCTGTCATAAATTTTCTAGGGGTTAAAATTTTTATTAAAAAATAAATTTATTAAACTTTATTAATATTTAATAAAGGATTTATTTTGTTTGTTAAAAGAAACAAATTAAATTGTTTATGCAAATAACTATAAAAATAAGTTGCATGATAAAAAAATCTAAAGCAATAACAACAACCTCTTTTTAATACTAAAATCAAAATAATAAATAAACATTCAATTGAAAGCCACTGTAAGTAAATTGTTTATTTTGTTTTGTATTTAAAATAAACTAGTTTGAAGTGTATCAACTATGGCAATAAGATCATTACTAAATTTAATAAAAATATGTTCATGTAATAATAATGAAGCTGTATTTAATATCAATGTTGTAGGTGGAAAAAAATATGAGGAAGAATATAGTAAAACACACTACAACCTAGCTAGTGATTTAGACAAAATAGTAAAACATATAACAGAACAGATAGAACAATCAGCAAGATTTGAAAAGAATGATTTTAAAATAAAAATAAATTTAAATCACCCAAGTGACACTGAAATTGATGAATCAATTAATAAAGCTAATCCATGTGAAGGTAATATAACAGACATAACAGGATTATTGGAAGATATCAATCAAAGAGATCCAACTTCACATTATTTAGTTCTTTTACCGTGTGATCCATCACCTTATGAAAACAATTTTAAAAAAGTCAAAATGGACATCCCTTATTTTTTTCAATCTATCAATGTAAATTGTTATAAAAGAGCAGCCATTCTTCAAGTAAATAACTATCATCAACTACTGGCAACATTTGGAAATTCAGTATTACATCTTTTAGGTGCCAATTTATCAGACACAGCAGAAGTATTAAATATTCATACAGGAGACGGTGGTATTAAATCATCACTAGTAATTAACGATGAAATGGTTAATTCAATATTAAGCAGTCCTTGCTTCCCTTTAAATAATAATTACAGTGACTACATAAATTAATCATTAACCCTTTTAATAAATAAAAAATTATTTCTATTTCTCCTTAATGAAGACAGCTTATCTTGATTTTAGTGAAAACTTCAATGAAATACCCACACGAATAAGAATCTTTGAGACAGAAGATAAGACATACATCTTTGTTAGTCAATACCCAAAAGATATGGGTTTATATAATAATTTTCTTAAAAAACTTATTGAACCACACATAAAGAAAGATTTATTTTGTATTTGTAATCTTAAAAATTATGATTCAATCACTAAAATATCAGAAGCAATTGTTAAAATTTTAACTAATAAATAAATTTTAATAAAATTTTTGTAAAATCTTTATAAAACAATGGGAAGAAACTGTACAAAAAAGAAAGGAAAAAGTAGAAATACTAAAAGAATCCAACATGGATTTATTAAAAGACACGGATTAAGACAGATAGATTTAATTAAAACAGTTAAATATACTGAAGAAAAATTAGAGGAGTTTAGAGAAAGAGATTTAAATTTTCTTTGTGAAAAGTGTGATCGTTTTTTTAAAGATGAAAATACTTTGAATGTTCATTATAAAACAAAATCTCATAAAAAAAGACTTAAACAGTGGAATGAACCATTTCACACACAAGAAGATGCTGAAAGAGCTGCTGGTTTATTTTGATAAATTTATTCAAGATTTAAAATATTTTCATATTCTATTTCTGATGTTCTATTTTCTTTATTAAGTTTTTGAATGTCTTTTTCTAACGTTTCTCTCATCTTATTTAATTCTTTTATATCTGATTTAAGTTGTTTTTTTGCAAGATCTAGTGCGTTTATCATACCAATTTTTTTATCAACAATTATTGATTCAAATATTTCTTTTATATAGTTTTCATCCGTAATATCTTTATAACTCACTCTTTTATTAGATATTTCCATATCTAGTCTATTTAATAACATCTCTAAGTGGTACTCTCCTATTTTATTCTTAAATACTGCTGATAACTTAGACTGTACTATATTATAAACCTCATTAGATATTGGTTGGTCATAATACAGTGGATTAAATGTTTCATCAATAGTTTTTTTAAATAACTGTTTTAACTTAGTAAATCTTGGTCCATCATTTAACAATTTTCTATTTTCTTTACTGCTTATTTGATCCATAAATTTATAAAATCAGAATTTTAATAAAATTTGTTTATTTAGAACAACAGTATGAAACTTGATTAAACTATGAAAATATTTACTGATGCATTATGAAGTTAGTTAATTTGTCTTTTATAAGTTCAAAATTGGTTATTGATTTTACTGTGGCTATTGAAAAGTTTAAAAATGATGAAGGGTTAACATATTTTATTGGTGATACCATACAAAAATATAATTCAAGATTAAAAGATGGTAGTGTTGAATTTAGATTAAATAAGGTTTTATTTTATGATGAATTACAGACACTAGAACCCACCCTTTACAGCTGTGTGGGTAAGGACGATATTAATTGTAGAAAGAAAATATTAGAAGATAATCCAACTAATATTTTATACTTTGCTAGTACAAATAACATTGATAATGATTTTTCTAAATACATGATTATTAACCCATGTAGATCAAGATATTTTGGCAATGTTTTTGGAAATAATAGTTTTTATAACGAAATATCACTAAGTTTAAAAGATTGGATATCAAATTTATTAGGAACAGAAATTAATCTTAATTCTGATAGTAAAATTTTTGCTTCTTCTAAACTGTTAAAGGAGTTTAAGAGATGTAAAATTATTTATGAAATAAGTGAAGATGAAGAGGAGTCAACATATAAAAATTATACCATTTCTACAAGACCTGAAAACACAACTAATCAAAAAAATAACATCGAGTCAAATTTAGACAAAAGTGATGTTAAATTCTCAAAAAGGAAATCTAATTATTTCTTTGATTCTATCAATATTAAAGAGCCAAATCCTATAATTTTAAATAGAAAAAAAGTTCGTAAGTTTCCTTTTTAAAACAAACAATAAATAAAATACTTATTTACAAAACAAACATGAGTGATTATTCAATTGGTGTTATTGGTGATGAAGAAACCATAAAGGGATTAAAAATCGGTGGTGTGGAAGATAAAGGGCAAAATATTATTAAAGTTACTGAAGAAGATTCTAAAAAGCACATTTCTACTCAGTTTTATTCTTTAATAAATAATAAATCAGTTGTAATGATATTTATTAGTGAATTTGCAGCTGATAAAATAAAAAATGAAATTGATGATTATGATCGATTTATTCCAAGTATATTGAAAATACCATCTAGAAAATTATAAAATCATTTCGTTTCATCTTTAAACTTTTCAACTATCTTTTTAGCAGATTCTGCTTTTATCTTTTGTCGTAAAGATTTGATATTAACTTTCTTTTTAACTATTCTGTTTGATTTTATGTTTAATTTTGTTTTGTTCTTTTTAAAATTCTGAGTCATTTTATTCTTATAAAATTTTTTAAAAATTTAAATTAGTTAATTGAAATAAAGTTATAATTGATTTTAATTATTTGTTAAAATAACGATTAAATATTTATAATTTTTGCAGTACTCCTATACTGTAATTTAAAGAATAGGATAATTGATTATTTACTATGTATGGAAATGTTTACAAATTTCCATCTTAAGTTAGTTAGTAAGGTATTTTAATTTGTGAAAATCTTTTAACTGATAAAAAGTGAATACACAGACGATAGAGACAAGACTATAACTGACACAGAGACAGAGAACACAAGAACAGATGAGACAGAATCATCATCAGTAAATAAATTATCTTCTACCAGCCGTCTAGCCTTCGGCAATTTTATTAAAGGTTTTAAATTAATAATCATAATAAAATTAACTAAGTTATATAAATTAAACCTCAATGATTAATTTTTTAGTTCAATTTTATGTTTAAACAAACTTCTTTACTATAAATTGGAATAAAAACATTAAAAATTGATAAAACATAAAACTCTAAGAAATATTTTAATAATTTTTTAAATGATCTGTATAAAAATTAGTTATAAATTTATATATACTTTTATTCACGACTTGAAAAAAACAAAGATTTTAAGTGAAAATGAATTATCTAATTATTCAGAATAAAAAAAACTTAATAAAAATTTATTTGAATCTTAATTGATGTTTATAAAGATGTTGTAAACGAAGATTTTTTTAAGAAAATGAGTATCTTAGAAAAAATCTGACTATAAATTTTAGTAAAAATTTTATCCATTGAAAACGAGTAGTAGAAATTTAGATAAAGATAATAAATTTAGTTACAACAACAATTTTGATAGTCAGAGCAAAGAGAAATTATTGATTATAAATATTAATTATTTTTTGTTATTTTTATGATGATCAATTGATAATTCAGTTTACCATTTTAGTTTGTTATTTATTCTGAAAAATAACTAAATCCTTCAAAAATATAATTGATAATATTACTTCTGTAACTAACAAAAGTGTTGATGTTGTTATAATAATTGATAAATTCAAACTTATATACAAAGATGTTTTTCTCATCTATTACAAATAATTAATCATTATGATTAATATTTTTACTAATAAATTAATAAAAATAATTGATAATAATCATATATTATGATTATTGAAAAAATCAATAAATTATTTAGTAAAAAAAGTAAATAATATTTGAATAACACAAATCTTTTAAATTTTTTAATGATAATGATAAAATTTACTTTTTTAATAGTGAAAATAAAATTAAGCTTAATTAACTATGTTTAAAAATTATATTAAATCTATAAATCATTATTAAAAATTAATTATTGATTATAAACTATTTTAAATAATTATAAATTATTTTAAATAATTAAAAAAAATGATATCAAAAATAACATTTTAATAAATTAGTTTTAAAAATGATTTAATAAAATTTCTGATCATCCTTATTAGAACCACTCTCATCAAAATCTTTATAAGTAAAAGAATTGTTTTTAGATAATGAATTATAATAAAAATCGTTATTAAAATGTTTTTGTTTACTTTCCAAATTAGCACTCTCAGTAATATCATTTACTTCTGATCTATAATATTCCATACAGTTGTTACAAATATGTGATTTAGTGTATTCAATATTACTATAAAAAGATCTATCCAAAGACCTATCACATGCTTCACATCTTATTAAATCACATTCCTGGGAAGAAGTTTTTAGTATCTTTAATGAACCATCATGTTGTTTTATTACCTGTCTATTCTTCTTATGCATCTTAAGATACAAACCACAAGCATTACAAAGAATACTATTTTTATCAAGAGATCTTCTCCAAGTAGGTGTAACAGTTGTCTCACAATTAGAACATCTTCTCTTAATTGGCATTCTTCTCCTTCCGTAATAACCATCAATGTTTCTCATATCAGTGTTATTTCTGTCAAACATTTTGATTGATCTTACATAATCAGAATATGGAATCTTTTCATATTCCATATTGTCATAATTAGAGAATCCATTAGAGTCAAATTTAAAAGATCTATCAGGATAAGATCTTCCATTTTGATAAGATGTAATGTGAGTTGAATAATAGTTATTATAGATAGAAACATCATCATAAGGAATCTTGTTACTGGTAAGTTGATGATTGTTTTTAATTGAATTTTTGGCATATTGATAACGATCCCATTTAGAATCTTTATTGTAGAAGTACTCTGTTTTCCTAAATTTACTTTCTTTTTCCATTGCATCATTTACTAAGTAAAATTGATTACCGTTTTCTGATTTGTCATCTGAGTCATCAACTATCTTCCTCTGATTGTTATTTGAGTTCATAAAGGGGTAATTTTAAGTGATTTTATATTAATTATAAAACAAAACAAATAAACAAAATAAAATAATATTGATTAGATCATAAAATACTAAATTGATTAATTAATTCCCGATTTTCAATCACCTGACATCATCCTAATAACAAATTATTAGTTATTTATGTTTAAATTTAAAGTATTCGTTTAAATAAGATTTTTGATGTCTGATCTATAAAAAATAACTTCTTAACGAAAATCATCAAAAGGAAAAATTTTATTAATTCAAATTGTCTTTCAATTGCTTTAAAGTCTCAATTGAGCCAATTCTTTCCAATCTCACGAGTTCGTTATCAAAATACTCATTTTCTATATTTTTGTGTTGCATCAACTTCTTTATTCCATTCAGATCACCATTCTGAACGTATGATGCATATTTGAGTTCTGTCTTCTCCACTAGCTTCTTTATTTCAGAAAGGTGTTCTTTTAAATTATAATAATCTTCTTTATGTTTTAATAAAGACTTATATCCCCTGCTAATGTTAATCTTCTTTATTTTCTCTATTTTTAATTCATTAATCTTTTTCATCAAATTTGTCTTTTCTTTTTGTAATTGATTGACATCACTCAAAAGCTCTTGAATGTCATCCTCAACTACTTCATCTGTAACTAATCTCTCATATTTAAAGTTTTCTGGAAACTTTAATATATTTCTCCTCATATAATTGACCATCATGAAACAATTCTTTCTAAAGTATCCAACTATCTGTTTAGCCAACTCTTTATCTGTGTTTAATTCTGAAATTGTGTCATTAAACTCATCTTCTAAACATTGTTGTAATTCTAGTGTAAAACAATACGGAACAAATCCAAAATATTCAATTTCATCTTCATTGGCTTCTTGTTCAATGACCATAAGGGTGTAAAATATTTTTATTAAAAATTTAATGATCAATTCTTTAGATTTTCATAGATTTCTTTGCTCATTTCAAATATTAACAAGTTCTTATTGTTTTTGGTTTTCAATTGTAAAAGTTTTTCTTCATAATACATTATTCTTTCTTCTAGTAGTATATTTTTGTTTTTTATTTCTTCTAATAAAATTAATGAGTTTATCAAATTTGGATCCTCTTTTATATTCTTTTCATTTTTAATTTCCTCTTTTGAATCTAATTCTATTTTTGACTGTGTTAATATGCTTATTAGTAAATTTACATAACTTACTTTCTCATATTCAATTTCTTTTATTATACTTTCTACTGATCTTATTATCAGATCCTGTATCTGTTCTCTCTTATATACCTTCTCATCAACTATTTTTTTATATTCTTCTTTTATTTTCTTATTTATTTTTTGATTTGTAAAATATACTTCTGGTAATGCTAATGAATCAAAGAATCTTTCACTATCTTTTTCACATGCTATTTTTATTTCTTGTGTCATATAATCTTCAATTTCAGTTCCTACATCTGCAAATTTAACAAACTCAATTAGTTTCTTATAAAAATCAAATGTTCTAATTGAATTTAAAAATGATCTTGACAATTCTTTTTTGTTTATCTTTATTTCCTTTTTATCTGATATCACTGAACTTTCTTCATCTCTCACAATAAACTTTTCATTGTATGTTTTTAATACATCAATAATTAAATTTCTAAATTTACTGTCTGACAATTTCATAAATTTTGGTTGCATTTTATCATTTTGAGTAAAACTGCCATTTTCTCTTCTTTTAGTCTCATTAACTACATCTTGTACCAATTTTTTAAAACTTATTAAGGGAAGTCCTTTTAACTTTTCTAAAGCATTCACTTGGTTATCATTGTTATCTGTTTGTATTTCATTTATATCTTCAATTTTTAAATATCTTTTTAAATCTTCTATATTATCTTTCAACTTCATTGGTTTGTTTCAATTTAAAAATATTTACTTTCCAAATTTAAAACATAAAAATAAACAAATTAAAATTTTTTAAATTTATTTAAAATAAGGAGTTGGATGATTATGTTGTAATAATGAGAATTATAAATTATTTTAGAAAGGAAGTGTTTGAATAAGATAAAAACAATATTTTTTTATATTTTTGTTGAATTAAACAACTCTTTTTATTCTAAAATTTGAATTATAATATTGTTTAAACATCAGTATTTTAAAATTTATTCATATTTGATTTCAAATAGAAGGTCTCTTTTTGGTAGTTCGCTATTTTTTTAAAAAATCTATTATCTTTCTATATAAAAAATTTAAGATAAAAATAAGCATAGTAGTTTTGATGTTATAATTATGAATAAACTATCTAAATTAAACACTTTACTTAATATATAAACAATAGCTGAATTAAGACTAGTTTTATTTTCAATATTTTTATCATAAACTATATATTTGTTAACTATATTTAATATAACGTTATTTAAACAAGATGCCTTGTTATCAATTTTTACTAAGAATATACTTTTTGATATACTTTTTTTAAAAAGTTTTGTATTGTGATATTAAATTCTATCAAGTCAATTTTATCATCTATAGTTTTTAAATTATTAAAAAACCGTTTTTAATAAAATGATTATCATTCCAAACACTATTTGTATTATTAATAATGTTATTGGATTAAAAAATTGTAAAAAAATATTTCTATTATACTTAAAAATGATTATAATCTAATAAATAAGAAAAAGAAAAAAATATTTTATTATAATTAAACAATCTTTTATAATTAAATTAATTCTTTTTGATGAAAGTCTAACTAAATTTTTTCTAAGAAGTTCTATAAAAAGTATAATCAATTCTAATAATTTTATAATTATTTATCAATATATGATAACAACTGTGAATAATCACTGTTGCTTCTATCTAAGCTTCTAAACCCTTCTTTACTCGACTCCAACTGTTTTCCATTTCTCTTTCATTTTTGTTTATTTTGAATATCATTATTAATTATAAGTAATTTATTAAAAAATTATAGTTGAAACAAATTTTTTTTAGAAAGTTTTTTTCATTAAAAATTTAACATTTTCTATAAACAAAGAATAAACTAATATATCTTTAGGAAAATGTATTAAGCAATGATAAAATAAATATAACTTTTGAATTAAAATAACATTTCATAATTGTATATAAACAATTGTATACAGTCATATAATTAACAAAATTTTTATTTTAAATATAATTTAATCGATGCTGTCAAAATTTAACAGAAATAATTTTTAAATAAAACTGTTTAAATGGAAATATAAAAAATTTTAAATTATTATAAATTTAATCTCAACAATTCTTAAGATCTATTTTGTTAAAATAAAAGTTAAAAAGACGTAATTAATCAAATTAGAAATTTGTTTTAATAAAATATTCAAAATAATTATATATACGAATTTATTCTGTTAAATATGTTGATCTAAAATACGGAGTTGGATGATTATAATTCGATATTGAGTATAATAAACTACTATTAAATGGATAATTTAAATCTGAAAAAAATAAAGTTTTCACTAAATCTTCTCCATAACCTTGGTCTTTACTAAACAAATCAGCTCTTATTTCTAAAAACTGAACTATTATATTATTAAAAATTTTTAATATCGGTATTACAAGAATTATATTACTAAAAATTACTAATATTAAGAAAATTGTTCCTTTGCCTATTTCACTGTTTTCTACTTCAAAAGTTGATGTTTTTTTATACAAAAAGTTTAAAATAAAAATATTAATGATCATAAATGCGAATGCTGTTATAATAATAAAAACAACATCAAAATTAAACACATGTCCTAATTCGTGAGAAAATACCGAATTAAGAACCATTTTGTTTTTAATATTTCCATCATAAACTATATATCTATTAATTATAAAAGCATTCGTAGCAGCGTTATTTAAATAAGTTGGACTATCACCATCATCGTTTTTTATTAAATATATGCTTTTAGTTAAGTCTGCTTTTTTAATAAGTTTTTGTATCGTACTATCAAATTCTTTTAAACTTATTAACTCAAAATAATCACCCATATGTGTTGGGTTTAGAAATATTGCTCCAGTTAAAGGAATTAACATTGTAAAAAATGTTTGTATACCAATCAATATCATTGGACCAAAATAATTAATTAAGAATATACAGAAGTAACAAAGTAGTGGCAACCCTATGAAAACGGTAAAAATACCACCAATTATTAATAAAATTATACCTTTTAAACTAAAAAATAAATATAAAAATATAAATACAGTTGAAAACATAATTAATATTGATATAACAGACAAAAAATTACATTCTTGTCTATTTACGTTAAAAAGTCTTCTGTTAATAATGTTAAGTTTTTTTGATGAAATTTTTATTAGGTA